AGGCGGGAGAAATACCTTATATACTCATCCCTTTAAAGGGCGACTGGGATTTAGGGGACCCAATCGCCAAATCCTGAGTGTGGAGAATCATCCTGCCCCACGCTGTTAATTCGGGCGCCACTGTAGAGACGTTAGGTTTTTTGGAAACAGGAAACTTAAAAAATGAGCAACACCTTTGCCGGGAATCGAACCATGGAACTTTGGAATATGCGCCCAACGTGCAGATCATTACACCACGAAGACACGCTAAGAAGGCGAGAGAAATACCTTATAAAGTAATTTAGTTATGTTGTTCTTATGTTCCGGTTAAAGTTTTTATGCCCGTATTTAACCTGAATGCAATAGTTATAGAATTATCAACAATTTAAAAGTTGCGAGTTAAGCCTAATGAGGCCACCATTTGTTTACATTTGAAATTCTTAGTAGAATACTGAATTAAATCAGTCGGTGCACCAACTTCAGTGTCTTTTGCCCTCTGAAACATTGAACTACTATAACTTTGATCATCTGAAATACTGAACTACCGTAGCATGCAAATGCAAAGAAGACTGTAAATAATTTTCACTGTCATGTAAAAGTAATGTAAAAATATCACTGTAATATTCATTGTAAAAACTCTGTAAAAAGTATCTCTTCAATAAATTATTTCCACTGGGTGGGCTATTTCTGTTAGGTATCACCTTAGGTCGGAAGCCCTCTACGTGGTGCAAAGAGTAAAGTTTCTTTCGCCCAGTGGGACCAAAAGTTAACTTTGAGTTATGTGCACCGAAAATGGTGTCTTTCTGCCCGAAGGTCAAATTTCTTGTTTTGGCGCAGAAATCCGAATTTTATCTGTAAAATTTTTTAAACTGTTTTTAACTGCATTTGGTGTTTTAGGTTTTTATGTATTTTATTGATTCTTAATGAAGATGTTTTTGAGCTTTTATGTATTTTTGCCTTGCCACGAAGTGAGAAGTGAATTAATTAAATGAGAAATATATCTCTAACAAAATTCTAGAAAGTATGTTTAAATGAAATTCAGCAAAAAGTGTGTACAGTTTAATAGGCGGCACAAGGATGTCATATCGTCATTTAGATTTTTTTCTTAATTGTGGCCGGTCTGCTACTTTCAGATCCTGCATTTGGCCCGCGTGAAATTTGAGTTGTAGACCACGGTAATGAATTAAAAGCGAATTATTAAGAGACTCATTTTTCTTTTTTTTTTTTTAAATTTGAGCCATGATTGAAAATAAAACGGATAGATATACAAAACGCGTAATTCTACCGATGGCTAGATTTTGATCACCCTCTAACGAATAAAAGCTACTTAAAGATTATAAATCATAAAGGGAATCACTTATAAAGATCAAGACACGACGCATACTCAAATTGTATGGAATAAATTAAATAGAACACGTAATAAATATGTAAACATACGCAATGAATAATATTGTACGTACCATGTTACTAGTACCAACAATATTCGTAACATGATCAGTGAAATTTGTAAGCTTGAGGAGATACTTGATTTTGCTGATATCAACATTAACTGCACCATTGTTAAAATTTTATCAATGCTTGATATAAAATTTCACCAATAATGAATACAATTCATTTGAAGAATTGAAATTGGAAATATATTATAATGCGATCTGCATAAAAGACGCAAAACTGAATTATGATGCAAAGTGTTTGCACACTTAAAAAAATTTCCATCTTACTCCTCAAATCTGAGAACTTAAAAGTTATGTCTTAAATATAACTTATATATTAAATATTAAATATAACTTAAATATATGTTATATAAAATATAATTTGAATATGTATTATATGTCTTAAATCATTTTATATATTATGCAATGTTTAAAAACATATTAATTCGCAAATACTATATTCAACTTTCAAATACATATAATTCTAATTTTCATTTATTAATATAATATTTGAAATATTTGATTTCAGCAACATGCCCTTTATGGAAATTCAGGATACGCCCTTGGAAAGGTCAAATATGAATCAGATAAGAATTTTGAAAACTCGCACGTTTCAGATCGGACGTATTTGGAACCCCATGAAGGCTTCAATGCCATGCAATGACAGAGGAAAGAATACTCAATCTGAGATTTTAATTGAGAAGCTCAGTTATGTAACATTTAATACAAGGCATAAAGATAGCTTAAAGAAATGATATGTGTGCAAATGTTTGATAATGGGAATTTAAATTAACAGCTTTCAGTTCAGAAATGACACAGATTTCTGATTAATTAATTTCGCCTACAATGCAAGGTTAAGAATACAGTATATGCATAAATAAAAAGTAATTAAAGTTCGGTTCATGACAAAGCTTTACATTAAATGTGAATCGTTTAGAGGTATCGTGAAACGAGAAATTTGAAAAGGCATTTTCGGTGTTTCCATGAAGTATATTTTAGATCTGCTTCTCGTAATATATTAGGCGATACTCGTAATGCTTGTGTGGATTTCTCTTATATATTCCGGAAGAAGTGTTACATCATTTCTTTTACGAACGAAAAAATCTTTTTGTAGAATTCCCAAGGAGTTGCGAGTAGGCTGTCCTGAAAAATGAATTCCTTTAGCGTAACTTAAATGTGGGATCAAGAGTATAAGAACAAGTCAATGAGAAGAAGATATAAATTTTGCATGGAAGAATGCATGGTCTATGAAGTGTCCACGAATTAAATAGTGCAAAATTCTTGCTGTATGGCAACTGGCTTCCAGTTCTGGTGGAACGCATGATGAAATGCATGCGAATGAAATGCTATTAGCAGAAATCTAGTAAATTGTTCTGAACTCCATTCTTAGTTCAAAGTAACAGAATTTCCATGATCATTCTTTCTTTCTTTTCTTTTCTTTTTTTTTTTTTTTAACAAAGACACAATGTACAAAAATAAACGCCTTTAAAAAATAATAGTATAAATTTAAAACAAAACTGAAATTTACTTTAAAATAAATTTTTAATAAAAGCCTAATCCCTTATATTGTTTTTTGCCTCATTTAATATTTTACATTGACGTCTTTCCCACAGAAAGATCCTAAACAGTTATAAGGTTTATTCTAAGTTTTTTACAGTTAATTTTAAACCACTTTCCTGTCGCTTCTAATTTCAGCTTACACATTTCCTGCCAGATCGTGTTTTCAGGATCGCGGTTAAATTCAAATGAAGGAGGAGAAAGTATTTAAAATTGAAGTTCTACTGACATCATTAGAGAGCCAGAGATTGCGCGCGTTCGCCTCTTAGGCTACACTCTCTCTAGCTATTTCTACGCTCGGCCGTATATCAGGCCCTTGATAGCTTCGCCGTTTAGTTAGCGTTAAGGAGCCAACTCCTGTAGAATTGTGATGACTTCGGATATCTCTTTAGTTAAGTTTTATTCCGCAGCATTCTTGAGTTCAAGTCCAAGTACAGGCTTTTCTGTACGTCCTGAGAGAGGAAAGTCTGTTAAATTTATTTTGAATAATAAAGGTTAATTAACACTTCTCGAGTCTGTTCTCTGTCTACTGAACTAAAGCGATTATTCGCTTACCAGTTCTCAAGGTTCCACACATTTAGCTGTAAATTATAGGTTGGAATATTACACAACATTTTATTTGTTTAACATAGTTACACTAACTATGTTAAGCACAACGCAATGGAAGCTCTAACGGATATCTCATACTCCGCAGTCGCTTTGAACTAGCACTTGAAAAAATGATGCTCTCTTCTGTTTTATTTAGTTTTTCCCGTGCCGCCGAAAAATCTCTAATACCTTCTACTACTCGAAATTATTGCAAGGCATGTAAGGGCCGGATACGGTTGCAGTAGTTACATATAGGAATAAATTACATTTATTCAATCACAGCACCAGTTAGAGTTAAACAAGGACCAGACTAAAATGTCGTGAAGTTTAGAGGCTTTTGGCGATTTCTCTCCATATATGGCAACAAAAAATAATCGCCAAAACCATAGCCAGGTTAGCGATATCTCGTCAATAAATATGTTAAATACATTTGCCTCCTGTAATATTATTTTTCCGGCAGATAATCGTCTCTTCAAGCATTCCATGTTACATTATACAAAAATACTACAATTTCACACATAATATTACTTAAGTTATTTACATATATGCAAAATCTGTAACATATATAATATATTAATTTTATTCCGTTGTGGATAATCTTTGGGTGTGTGACAGCTCTACAATCTCAAGCTCAAATGGCAAAGGATTTGAAAATCTATCCTAATGTAGCAGCAATTGACTCTAATGTAGTACTATGAAAGCTTGTTCCTGGTCCGTCAACAAGTTCGTCAGCTTATGATAACTATTATATCGTTTAAATAAATTTCAAACTCCATATATTTATTAATTAATAAAGAAGCATTGTTTTCAGTTTCCATATGATTCCTCACATGGATATTTGTCGCCAGGTTATTCTCCCAGGGAAAGGGATTTTATCATACCATTCTGACAAGTTTATTGAAGGAATGACTCCAGTATTAAGGAACTGGGCTTTGTTCATAAAGATCTTCCGTAGAATGAAAAGCGTCGACTAATTAGAACTCCTTATTATATTAGTACACTTAAAAACACAAATTTCGTGCTTTCCAGCAGGTGATCAAGGCGATAGCCGAAAATCATGCTTTACTTTGATCCATCAGAGAATGTATTTCTGGCCGAGAATCCAAGAGAAAAGACCATTTAAAACACAGGATAATAGTTATTCAGTTCGGCGATATTTCTGCCTTACTCTGTTAAAGTTCAGTTTAAAAATTATACATGTAAAATACGAAAACTTATTTGTAGAGCTGATGTCTATTAGCATGAGTCTAAGTATGAATAAAAGCAGTAGTATTACAAAACAGCGCATCAAAACTGGCAGTAATTGCATGCTGACTCTGAGAATTAATATGAATTTTGACACAGCAAGACATAACATCAGCAGTTTGATATTGAGTTTGAGAACATTAAATGACAATGGTTTAGGTTGCTACATATCTATGGATGTAGAAGCTTATTACATACCCTCCATTTGGCGTTATGTATATATAATCTTCCTCCAAGCTCCTCGGAATAAACCGAATACAAGATAGATTCTGGAATTGGAGCATAGCTTTCGAGATCAGCTCTTTTCCTTTCTGGTCTGAAATTTACAAAATTAAATTAATTGAAGCAAAATAAGTTAAATAAAAAACAAACAATGTCTTCAATTATTTAAGCTTTACATAGATAATTTCCATATAAAAATACAGATGATGTTCATATATTTTTAGAAACACATTGATGCATTTTTAGATTTCGATAAAGAATTAGGAAAAAGCAAATGCTTTGTAATAAACATTTCTGGCAGGCCAGCGCGTCGCGCAGCTGCACCACAAGTCCGGGGTTCGATCCTCGAGCTGGGCATGGTTGACTCAGCGTTTCATCCCTTGACTGGGTCGATAAATTGAGTAACATGTTCGCTTGGGGACTAAACACTGGGGTCTTGACCACTTGTCCAGGGCTTGTCCACAAGTTGACCACTTATCCAAGGCATATGCTGATGCATTCCGGGGCCCAAGGTCAAGAAAGCAGATTTCAGGACACTTCAGGCCGTGGCCCACTAGTGCTGTTGCCTCTCTGAGTTTAGTTTTATAAATCAAAACCTTTAAAAAATGCATGGTATTAAAATTTTTAAGTGCAAAATAAGTAACATTGTTAATCAGAAAAAGAATACCGTGAATCGTTACTACTGCATGAAAAGAAGACTAACACTTGAAAAAGGTACTTTCTGTTTCTAACATTAAATCGTTGTTAATAAGAAAAAACCCGTCGTCGCTGAAATCAATTGCAAAGTCTTTAAAAACATGTGTATCATCAATAAGTAGAAACCTGTATGGAAACGAAATGAATAGCAGCAGATAAATGGAAATATATTTCGACCTTGATGAAGCATGGAGTTATCCAAATGACTAAAAAAAAAAAAAAAAAAAAGGAACAGGAAGGGTGCATGCAGCTTTAGCCTACTTTCGAGAATATTTTCGAGAAAACCGCCAAAAATGTATTCTAGAATGTTCTCACTTCATCTATGACAAATCGCCAATTTTGTCTCAAAATACAGCCAAATGGGCAATTTCGTGCCAAATCTGGCATTCCGGCCGCTTTCTGGTAACCCTAAGCCCGCCCCTAAGCCCGCCGTTGACTCACACTCCTCAGCCGGCAGTATTCTTTTTCCGCTTCGCTGGAGGAGCTTCCTTTTCGACCCGCTTTGCGAAGAAGCTGTCTAAACGCGGACTAATTAATTTTTATATGATTTACCACGTTTTAATTTGGTAAACTCTGACCTTTTCCCACTCCGACGGTCAACCGGATGTCTTCTACCCCCCGTCGTCCTCGAATTGAAACCAGTCTACAAAGGTAAACAAGAGGTACTGGAGTAATACTAATCAGCCTGCTAATTAAGCCCATAATTGGCGTAGCATTCTGGAATAAACGACATTCTTCAACTCAAGCCCCAGGAAGTGGAAGTTTCAAAATTTGGAGAAAATCCGTCAATAACTTCTGAATTTACTAATTTCTTCAGCAATTTTCGGGACTTAAGAAATTCTTCAATTTTTGCGATATTATACAGTGCAGTGTGAGTGTGTTTACCTATAATTTCTGTGTTTTTCTCAATCGGATTACATTGGATTACCTGCAGTGCAAGCAACAGATGAAAACAGAAGAAACATAACGGCCAAGGTAGGCCTTTTGTTCTTTAATTTTTTTTAATTAGCAGCAATAATTAATTATCTCGTCTCCCAATTACCGCAAATATCTGCTATTTAACTAAATTAAATTTACTGGTCATCCTTAAATCCTTAAGTGACGAATAGTATACAGATTTAAAAAAAAAAACTCTCTAGAGAAACCGGACTATTAGGTTTTCGCTTAAATAAATTAATTAATTATCTGTACTTATCGGTTCTACCAAATTTACTCCAATTTGCTATGTATCTCAGTTCTCCTATTATCTGTACTCAAGTATAATTGCTGTATTTTTCTTGCACTCTGATAATGTTATCAATCACAATGTATTAACTGGCATTTGTGAAAGTAATGATCTAACTTTAGTTATTCAAATTAATTAATTATTTGTGATTATCGGTACCACTTAATTAACATTTATCTTCACTGCACCTTGGTTCGCATATCTACTGTGCTCAACAGTGTTTTCACTTTTGTGCAATATACAAGGTAGCGAATGACAATAATATATTAAGTATAGAGTGCCACATTAATTCAGTGTTCAAGTAATCAAAACTTTATCTGCACCACAGTAACCTTAGTGATTAGTGTAGTACAAATTGTATACAATTGCTTAAATAGGGTAATTAATTGCTTAAATAGTGTAAATTGCTTAATAGTGTAACTGTGTAATAATTGCTTAAATAGTGTAACTATGTGCACGATCACCAAGAATAATGTGTAGTGCATAATGCAACACTAATTTAGTGCCGAAGTGTTAAAGTGTACAAATGTCATACTGTGATAATATACTGTGCAAGTGTTAGCAAAAGTGTTCCGGGCAATCAGTGTTTAGCACACATCCCAAGTGTTTATAAAAGTGCTCTGTGTTCAAGTGTATAAGTATTTGCAACAGTATTCTACCCAATCTGTGTTTAGCACACAGCTCAAGTGTTCACAATAGTGTTCTCAGCGACAAAGTGATTATAATTTACTTTCTCCTGCAACTAAGCAATTGATGAAATATGCAAGAAAGTGACAACTCCATTTTAGCAAGGGACCTCGACCTTACAAATCCAGCCCAGAGAGACACTCTAAGCTACTCGGAGAAGATTCATTCATTTGCAGACGAGGCTCTGCGCATCAGCAAAACAAAGTGCGGCAAACGAGCAGTACTTCCCAGCTGACTTACGAGACCAAATAAGATTTATAATAGAAGCACTCAGAGAGCTGGCCCTACAGGGTCCAGACAGCGATAACCCTCGGCCTACTACTGAAATAGGTGTGAACACTGAGGAAGAAGTTCTCACAGCACCGATCACCATACAGACGGCAGCTTCCAACAGCACACGCGTTAAATCTTACGCACAAGTTGCCGCCCCGAAGCTGAAGCATACTATTCTCATTTATCCAACAGAGAATACAGCAACCTCTAGCAAAGACCTGAAAACAGTCCTCAACGAGAAATTTCCACTACAAAAGCTGGGAGTCAAAATTAGCACCATCCGGAACCTGCAGAAGGGAGGATTAGCGGTGGTAGACTGCGTAACCAAAGAGGACGCAACGAAATTAGTCAACACCCTACAGAGTAAACAGGGGCAAGATCTGGTCAAGACCAGACAACCACAGACCAGATTACCGAGAGTGGCCATACACAGTGTGTCACCTGATGTCCAGCCAGAAGAATTGGAAAAAGCGCTCAGCTCCGAGTTCCATCTATCCAAAGCATCAGCAAAGATCCTCTACCGTCTCAAAGACAGAGAAAATACTGTTAAATGGATCGTGGAGTGCCAGCCAGCAGCTTACCGAAGTCTCCTCCAATGGCCCAAATTGTTCATTGGTTTGGCAAAGACACCGCATCGCGGAACACTTCAATACCAAGAGATGTTTCCGATGCCAAGAGTTCGGTCATACTCAACAAGGCTGCACGAATAAAATCTACTGCGCCTTCTGTTCGGGCAACCACAGCATCAAGGACTGCCACGCATGCCAGCCCACCTGTATCAACTGCGCAGATACAAATTTCCGAACACATAGTACAATGCCCTGCAACCATCCAGCATACGACATCCGATGCCCAACCTATGCACGGTATGTTGAGCGAATCCGACGAAGCACAATCTACGAATAACGCACAACGACCAAGTACCTCCGCACCAGCATGGACGCCACACAAAACGAAAAATCCACCCACTGAAGATCGACCAGAAACAAAAGTGGAAACCACCCAGCACCAGACACCCATACGATGCGCTCAAATCTCAAATTAATTTGCAGAGAGCAGAAGCTGCCTCAACCCAAGCCATACAACATGCAATACATCATAATTTAGACTTTCTTCTAATCCAGGAACCATACTGCCGTGAAGGCCAGGTGGCAATTTTTTCCCTGGCATGGAAGATCTTCCAAAGGAAATCCACAGCAGAGCAGGCACCCAGAGCAGCCATTGCCTGCTGTAACCCTACCTGGACACCTTTCCTGGTTTCAATGGAACGAGAGATTTCGTCTCCGTACTAGTTATCTTTAACAATCAACAGTTCATACTAAGCTCCGTTTATTCCTCCCCCAGCGATGACCTCACTGACGCAACTACAGCATATAATCACGTTAGACTGAAATGTCCTACGGTACCACACATCATTGGAGGCGACTTCAACGCCCACAACGTCATTTGGGGCTACCGTGACACGACTCCTAAGGGCCACGAAATGGAAAACTTCATGGCGAGCAATAACCTGCATTTGCATAACAGCCCCGGTGCACAGCCGACATTTGACAACTCGTATCATAAAGGCTGGCCCGACTTGACCCTTTCAACATCGGACATTGTCAACAATATTTACTCTTGGACTGTCATGGATGATGAAAGCAATTCCGATCATAAGTACATCCATTTCCTCATTCAAGTAGACACCAGCATTAGCATTTTAAAAAGGTTTAAGCTTCCGGGTGGCAAGATTAGGCATCTGCATCGCATTCTCAGCGAAACTCTCAGAAGAGAAGAGATGGAGCTTAATACGCATAATGACCAGTATGATATGAATATCTACACAGATAATCTTCTCACCACTCTCAAGGACACATGCGAGCGAATTCTACCAATCAGGACTGCCAAGAAACTGCAAGGCATTACGTGGTGGACTAGGCAGCTGAGACAAATGCGCCAAAGGTGCAGAGCCATTACGTCGCCGTCTCCGAACGGCTGTAGACGGCACAGAAAGAAACGGAAAGGTTGCTAACTGCATTCCGACAAGCACGGGCTACTTATAAAAAAGCAATTCTAGAAGCCAAAATCAACAGCTGGCGCAATTTTTGTACCAGCAATAGCAATCCTTACGGAATCCTGCATAAACTGGCCACGCAGAAAAGAAAATCTTCCAGCCGGCACAAGTGCCAGTGCAGCCAGGGAATCTACCACAAACAATTGACTTAGCAGGG